GGCTGTTCTGGGGCCCTCTTCTCGGATGACAACATTGACGTAACAATAGAAGCCCGATCCAGTCCTTTTTATAGATAAATCACTGTTAAACCAAAACTGTACTTCACTGTTATTGTATAACAAAGCATTGGATAATTAATAGCCCTCGGATTGGCTGTTCTGGGGCCCTCTTCTCGGATGACAACATTGATTTAACAATAGATGCCCGATCCAGTCCTTTTTATAGATAAATCACTGTTAAACCAACACTGTACTTCACTGTTATTGTATAACAAAGCATTGGATAATTAATAGCCCTCGGATTGGCTGTTCTGGGGCCCTCTTCCCGGATGACAACATTGACGTAACAATAGAAGCCCGATCCAGTCCTTTTTATAGATAAATGACTGTAAAAACCAACACTGTACTTCACTTCACTGTTATTGTATAACAAAGCATTGGATAAATAATAGCCCTCGGATTGGCTGTTCTGGGGCCCTCTTCTCGGATGACAACATTGATTTAACAATAGAAGCCCGATCCAGTCCTTTTTATAGATAAATGAATGTTAAACCAACACTGTACTTCACTGTTATTGTATAACAAAGCATTTGATAATTAATAGCCCTTGGATTGGCTGTTCTGGGGCTCTCTTCTCGGATGACAACATCGATGTAACAATAGAAGCTCGATCCAGTCTCTTTTATAGATAAATGACTGTCAAACCAACACTGTACTTCACTGTTATTGTATAACAAAGCATTGGATAATTAATAGCCCTCGGATTGGCTGTTCTGGGGCCCTCTTCTCGGATGACAACATTGACGTAACAATAGAAGCCCGATCCAGTCCTTTCTATAGATAAATGACTGTAAAAACCAACACTGTACTTCACTTCACTGTTATTGTATAGCAAAGCATTGGATAATTAATAGCCCTCGGATTGGCTGTTCTGGGGCCCTCTTCTCGGATGACAACATCGATGTAACAATAGAAGCCCGATCCAGTCCTTTTTATAGATAAATCACTGTTAAACCAACACTATACTTCACTGTTATTGTATAACAAAGCATTTGATAATTAATAGCCCTTGGATTGGCTGTTCTGGGGCCCTCTTCTCGGAAGAGAACATTGATGTAACAATAGAAGCCCGATCCAGTCCTTTTTATAGATAAATCACTGTTAAACCAACACTATACTTCACTGTTATTGTATAACAAAGCATTTGATAATTAATAGCCCTTGGATTGGATGTTTTGGGGCCCTCTTCTCGGAAGAGAACATTGATGTAACAATAGAAGCCCGATCCAGTCCTTTTTATAGATAAATTACTGTAAAAACCAACACTGTACTTCACTTCACTGTTATTGTATAACAAAGCATTGGATAAATAATAGCCCTCGGATTGGCTGTTCTGGGGCCCTCTTCTCGGATGACAACATTGATGTAACAATAGAAGCCCGATCCAGTCTTTTTTATAGATAAATGACTGTTAAACCAACACTGTACTTCACTGTTATTGTATAACAAAGCATTGGATAATTAATAGCCCTTGGATTGGATGTTTTGGGGCCCTCTTCTCGGATGACAACATTGATGTACCAATAGAAGCTCGATCCAGTCTCTTTTTATAGATAAATGACTGTTAAACCAACACTGTACTTCACTGTTATTGTATAACAAAGCATTGGATAATTAATAGCCCTTGGATTGGATGTTCTGGGGCCCTCTTCTCGGAAGAGAACATTGATGTAACAATAGAAGCCCGATCCAGTCTCTTTTTATAGATAAATGACTGTTAAACCAACACTGTACTTCACTGTTATTGTATAACAAAGCATTGGATAATTAATAGCCCTCGGATTGGCTGTTCTGGGGCCCTCTTCCCGGATGACAACATTGACGTAACAATAGAAGCCCGATCCAGTCCTTTTTATAGATAAATGACTGTAAAAACCAACACTGTACTTCACTTCACTGTTATTGTATAACAAAGCATTGGATAAATAATAGCCCTCGGATTGGCTGTTCTGGGGCCCTCTTCTCGGATGACAACATTGATTTAACAATAGAAGCCCGATCCAGTCCTTTTTATAGATAAATCACTGTTAAACCAACACTGTACTTCACTGTTATTGTATAACAAAGGATCGGATAAATAATAGCCCTCGGATTGGCTGTTCTGGGGCCCTCTTCTCGGATGACAACATTGATTTAACAATAGAAGCCCGATCCAGTCCTTTTTATAGATAAATCACTGTTAAACCAACACTGTACTTCACTGTTATTGTATAACAAAGCATTGGATAATTAATAGCCCTCGGATTGGCTGTTCTGGGGCCCTCTTCTCGGATGACAACATTGATGTAACCATAGAAGTTCGATCCAGTCTCTTTTTATAGATAAATGACTGTTAAACCAACACTGTACTTCACTGTTATTGTTTAACAAAGCATTGGATAATTAATAGCCCTTGGATTGGCTGTTCTGGGGCCCTCTTCTCGGATGACAACATTGATTTAACAATAGATGCCCGATCCAGTCCTTTTTATAGATAAATCACTGTTAAACCAACACTGTACTTCACTGTTATTGTATAACAAAGCATTGGATAATTAATAGCCCTCGGATTGGCTGTTCTGGGGCCCTCTTCCCGGATGACAACATTGACGTAACAATAGAAGCCCGATCCAGTCCTTTTTATAGATAAATGACTGTAAAAACCAACACTGTACTTCACTGTTATTGTATAACAAAGCATTGGATAAATAATAGCCCTCGGATTGGCTGTTCTGGGGCCCTCTTCTCGGATGACAACATTGATTTAACAATAGAAGCCCGATCCAGTCCTTTTTATAGATAAATGAATGTTAAACCAACACTGTACTTCACTGTTATTGTATAACAAAGCATTTGATAATTAATAGCCCTTGGATTGGCTGTTCTGGGGCTCTCTTCTCGGATGACAACATCGATGTAACAATAGAAGCTCGATCCAGTGTCTTTTATAGATAAATGACTGTCCAACCAACACTGTACTTCACTGTTATTGTATAACAAAGCATTGTATAATTAATAGCCCTCGGATTGGCTGTTCTGGGGCCCTCTTCTCGGATGACAACATTGACGTAACAATAGAAGCCCGATCCAGTCCTTTCTATAGATAAATGACTGTAAAAACCAACACTGTACTTCACTTCACTGTTATTGTATAACAAAGCATTGGATAAATAATAGCCCTCGGATTGGCTGTTCTGGGGCCCTCTTCTCGGATGACAACATCGATGTAACAATAGAAGCTCGATCCAGTCTCTTTCATAGATAAATGACTGTCAAACCAACACTGTACTTCACTGTTATTGTATAACAAAGCATTGGATAATTAATAGCCCTTGGATTGGCTGTTTTGGGGCCCTTTTCTCGGATGGCAACATTGATGTACCAATAGAAGCTCGATCCAGTCTCTTTTTATAGATAAATGACTGTTAAACCAACACTGTACTTCACTGTTATTGTATAACAAAGCATTGGATAATTAATAGCCCTCGGATTGGTTGTTCTGGGGCCCTCTTCTCGGATGACAACATTGATGTAACCATAGAAGTTCGATCCAGTCCTTTTTATAGATAAATGACTGTTAAACCAACACTGTACTTCACTGTTATTGTATAACAAAGCATTGGATAATTAATAGCCCTCGGATTGGCTGTTCTGGGGCCCTCTTCTCGGATGACAACATTGATGTAACAATAGAAGCCCGATCCAGTCCTTTTTATAGATAAATCACTGTTAAACCAACACTGTACTTCACTGTTATTGTATAACAAAGCATTTGATAATTAATAGCCCTTGGATTGGCTGTTCTGGGGCCCTCTTCTCGGATGACAACATTGATGTAACAATAGAAGCCCGATCCAGTCCTTTTTATAGATAAATGACTGTTAAACCAACACTGTACTTCACTGTTATTGTATAACAAAGCATTGGATAATTAATAGCCCTCGGATTGGCTGTTTTGGCGCCCTTTTCTCGGATGACAACATTGATGTAACAATAGAAGCTCGATCCAGTCTCTTTTATAGATAAATGACTGTTAAACCAACACTGTACTTCACTGTTATTGTATAACAAAGCATTGGATAATTAATAGCCCTCGGATTGGCTGTTCTGGGGCCCTCTTCTCGGATGACAACATTGATGTAACAAAAGAAGCCCGATCCAGTCCTTTTTATAGATAAATCACTGTTAAACCAACACTGTACTTCACTGTTATTGTATAACAAAGCATTGGATAATTAATAGCCCTCGCATTGGCTGTTCTGGGGCTCTCTTCTCGGATGACAACATCGATGTAACAATAGAAGCCCGATCCAGTCCTTTTTATAGATAAATGACTGTTAAACCAACACTGTACTTCACTGTTATTGTATAACAAAGCATTGGATAATTAATAGCCCTCGGATTGGCTGTTCTGGGGCCCTCTTCTCGGATGACAACATTGATGTAACAAAAGAAGCCCGATCCAGTCCTTTTTATAGATAAATCACTGTTAAACCAACACTGTACTTCACTGTTATTGTATAAGAAAGCATTGGATAATTAATAGCCCTCGGATTGGCTGTTCTGGGGCCCTCTTCTCGGATGACAATATTGATGTAACTATAGAAGCCCGATCCAGTCCTTTTTATAGATAAATCACTGTTAAACCAACACTGTACTTCACTGTTATTGTATAACAAAGCATTGGATAATTAATAGCCCTTGGATTGGCTGTTCTGGGGCCCTCTACTCGGATGATAACATTGATGTAACAATAGAAGCCCGATCCAGTCTTTTTTATAGATAAATGACTGTAAAGCCAACATATTACTTCACTTTACTGTTATTTTATAACAAAGTTTTGGATAATTAATTGCCACCTGTACACCATCTAACAATTGTGAAGTGTATAATTGTAAATTGATACGTGATGTGAATGAAACGAAGTTCTTTCTTCCTATATTCTTTCATCCTTCTTCCAGTAGTAACACGGACAAGAAAGACGCAAGTAAACGTGGACAAGAAAGGCGAAATTCGAATGGGTGTGGAGTACATCAACATGCGAGTAGTTTTTAGAGTCACATTAGGTATAGCTCTCTTCATGGTTGCTGCATCATATTTTATTATGGAGTACAATAGTTCAAGTTCAAGGAGATACAATGGAAGAAGTTTGATTAAAAGTCATTTTCAAGGAAACAAGGAAAACCAGTACAATTTTCGATTAAAAGGATCGTTCGAAATTTATGTTAGACTAACAGATAATGCCCAGTTTAGAAGGCAACTGGATAACTGGCTTTTGAAAAGCATGGAATTGTTCTTTCCAAAGTACCTTGCCTCCACTATTATCGTTCTGGACAGCGAGAAGAAAGGGGACTGGGCTTATGCAAAAGAACTATTAAAAAAGTATGACCATTTCAATCTACGGATATGCTATATGAATCCAATTCCTGCTGACGTCATCAATAACTGGGGAAAGGAGAGAATGTACTTTGACATGATGCATGCAGATTCATGCAAATTACAAGGGTACGTTGGCTTTGTTGACGTTGACACTCTATTTGTAACAGCAGTCACGGAGGACTTGTTGTTTGAGAATGGAAAGCCAATCGTCACTGGTAGAATAGGCATGCCCAGAATTCCATGCTGGATACAAACAGCAGAGTATGTGCTTGGTGTTAAGCAAGTAATACAGTGCATGTCATACTTCCCTGTCGTCTTTAAAGTCGAGCATATCGTTGAAATGCGGCGTTATGTGGAAAATTTGCATGGGAAGTCGTTTATGCAAGTGTTCAAGATGGCACCTTCTGCCGTGAAAGTTCATGGCACGTGCTTCTGCCATTATAGCATCATGTGTAATTACATGTGGTATTTTCATCGAAATGATTACGCCTGGCACTTACAAGTTGTGCCACTTGGAAAATGGCATGGTCAAGGATCGATTCCTAGTATGGTCGATGCAGCTTACTTTAATAACGAGGTAACACCTAACGAAAAGTTGCCGATACCAAGAAGCTCCATACATGCAAGGCATTTCATGATGGATGGAAAATACCAGGACGCAGTTGAAGCACCTGTTCCATACATAAATAAAGTCCTAAAGGAAGGATTTTGTTATTCGTTTGGCCATGAAATATGTCCAGAGAACTGTGGAGAATTCGACCCAAATAAGATTCAAGATAGTTTATTTGCTTTTGAGAATTACAGATGGCAATGGGATGCTCGATGCAATGCCACTCAAACTAAACACTACTGATATAGTCTTGAAATATCGATGAAAATAATTATTATTTCAATTCAATTACTACGATAACAAACCACTTAATTACAGAGGTTGTTTACAACTGGTTGGCTAGCCTACAGTCATTGCCAAAAGTACTTGAAACATCAAGCGATTATCGCGTTGTGTTTTCATATTTTTCAATTCTTTTCCTGGATACTCCCTTTTTCGCACCCCCTTCCCTCCAAAGCAATGTTGATGGCTTAGAAAAATATGACAAAAGGAACGCAAAAGAAAGTGCTCCCTTAGATCCTAACCCGTTTGATAGTAAACCCACATTGTTCCGTGGGGGAGAGGTGGATTATCAATGTTCCAAGACTTTTGGCAGGGTTAGTGGGTTTACAAGATTAGATACATTAATCAGGAGAGCAAATTACGGGGGTTGTAAGGGGTGTCAGCGAGTCGTTATTTCCTTTCTGACATTAACTGTATAAAGCCGAACCCTCTAGTGCAATGCATCTTCTTGCCATATCCCTTTGCCCCTTCATGTTTTGTATCTTCCGCTCCTCATTTACCACAGCGCAAGATATTTTGTCATTTTCTCAAACGCAGTCTTCATACATTTTCATTTTTCCTCATATACTTAGATTTGCTTTGAATGGCCGGTAGAATGCCTGGCTGGCCGATAGCAGAATGAGCTTCTCAAAATGAGCCTGAAATGCGATAAATGTTGCCTGATTAGGGGGGTTGCAGCCACAATGCCCATGTTTGCAGCTCATAACCCTTAGTACTGCTTGATGCGTTTACCAAGGCTCTGGGCGCACTTGTTTCTGTTAAGACATGTCGACAATGAAAAACCCCAGCTCTTTGTTAGCTGCTCTTAATTTCAATGCTCGTGTCACATTTTTACTTCGAGCTCCTTTCTATTAAATGCTCCATTACAATCTGGCTTCACATTATTTTCCATCATGCCATGTGCTTCTCTAAATAAGGTCAACTAACTGAGTTTTCGGTGCAACAAAAAAAAGAGCCAATTAAATACTAGAACTACAAGGATTTTGTCGACCGCTACCTATAGCAATACTTTATCGATAAATGTTGGAAATACAGCCATCACAGAAATCTGGGCCCACGCCAGGTTTTGGCCATGACCCCTACATTTTGCGAATCAAGTAGTTTTGAAGCTGAAGTAAAAGGGGAAGGAAGCTTTAACCCCCCAATTTTGCTAGCCTTGGCCCCCCCAACTTTCACATTCATGGCATGGGCCTTTGAAAGCACAAAAGAAAAGTTACAGGAGCAACTATGGAAAAACACCTTTCTTTTAAGACACACATCTAATCGTTATGCAAGACAGCAGATCAAAAGCTCCACGCTCCATCTCGTATAACCCACGCTCCACGCTCCATCGATCATATCATGCAGGCTTTTATCGCATGCCAGTTCAGCTCAGCTATTGTCCCTTTGTGTGGATGTTTTGTGACAGACATTTAAATAACAAGATCAACCACATTCACAAAAAATAATAATAATAATAATAATAAGACCATATTTATACAGGTAAACATGTTCAGCAAAAATGAGTTTGCTGCTATCAATCAAGGACCTGTGAAACTAATGTACCTACGATATAAATGTTACAACAATATAGTTGAAAAAGTTTTTACAATAATTAAATCTAGAGAAAAAGTTAAAAATCAAAGTCGATATCCTTGCAGCAACTCTTGAACTTCAGTATAGATGTTTCACTTTGTAGTTTGCTGGGGACTTTATAAAAAATTGTTACACCCTGGAATGCAAACGTTTTCCGTCCTGCTTCAGATTTTACTCTTGGGAGCGATAGACTGTGTTCATTTCCACGATTTGCTTTGCTGTGTTTTACACGCTGAAAGTATTCCATTATATCAGGTGGTGCAAGACCGTTTAAGCATTTAAAGACCTCAACTGCATACATTCTATTCCTAATGTGGTTTATAGATGGAAGTTTTACACTACTTCTTCTGCCATTGATAATCTTCAATGATCGTGTTTGGATGCTTTCAAATCGTTGTTTCTTAGATGGTGACATTTCTCCAAAAATGTTGTTGCAGTAAATTAGAAGTGGCAGTATCATGACTGTGTATATTGTTTTTGCTGCGCGAGGCGTCAAGTTCGGTCTTATCCTGGACAATAATTTGACTCTTGAGCTTGCTTTGTTAAGAGTTTTTTCGATGTGTTCTGCATAGGTAAGACTTTTGTCCATCATGACCCCTAAATATTTATTTGCTGCTGTAACGAAGCATGCAAGAAGGAAAGCAAATATAAACAATATTTCAGTTTCTCGTCTTCTTCAATATTCTCCAACTTAACTTTACAACATTATCCGCTACCTTTCCAACCTATATCTCCACTTCAACTTTCTTCTCTCTCCCTCGCTCACTAGTCACAACAACAATAACTCCCGTCCCAGTCTCTCATTACTCACGCAATTTTCATTCCATTAAGCTTGATTTCAAATGCGGTCGATTTAGATGTTTTTTGATGCGTCCCATAAAGAACGCACTCTGTTTTTGATTTCTTTAGATTTATAACAAGGTTATTTTCATTGAGCCAACGAGCAATCTGCTCTAATTCACTGCCCAAGATATTCTCAATTTCATTACTTGTCTTTCCAGCATAAAACAAGACGGTGTCATCAGCATAGAGAGTTATATTACACAATTTTAGATTTGATTCGATGTAATTTGTCAGCAATATAAACATCAATGGACCAAGGATAGATCCTTGCGGTACTCCACAAGATATTGCTTGCATTTCAGAGCTTTGTCCATCGATTGTAACATATTGCTTTCTGTTAAACAAATAATTACTAAACCATGACATTTCTCTGTCTTTAATGCCATATATCGATAGTTTAGACAGAAGTCGTGCATGATCCACAGTATCGAATGCCTTGCTTAAATCAATAAATACTGCACCAGTCATGAGGCTCTTGTCCATATTTTTTCTGATTGAATCTGAGAAGAGCGTAACTGCATGCTGGGTCGACGACCTCTTTCTGAAACCAAATTGTCGTCTAGAAAGCAGTTTGTTTTTTTCCAAATAGTCATAAAGTTGTTGGTGAACTACGCTAGATGACTTTTGAAAGGACAGGAAGCACTGATATAGGTCTGTAATTATCCATTAAAGATCTTTCACCAGACTTATAAATTGGGGTTACTTTGGCGATCTTTTCATCGGGAGGAAAAACTGACGTCTCTAAACAATGGTTTATCATTTCTGAAAGGGGTGCAGATATTTCATCTGCCTGCCCCATCTATAAACATACATGTTGGGATGTCATCGTGGCCAGGGGCCTTCCTTCTTTTGATCTTTCTTAGAAGCGCCCATACTTCATTTCTGTTTGTTGGCTTGAAGTGAAAGCGGCAACTTTTTGGATTCATAGTCTGCTTCATAGTCGCATAGTCATGATGCTTCCAGATGTTATCTCTCAACGAGGGTATAGCTTTTTGTAGTGCTTTGCCAATATTGGCAAAAAATGTGCAAAACCCATTCGAAATAGCTTTCAAATCTGATGTCTTTTTGCCGTTTACTTCAAAGACATTGTTGTTTTCTTTATTTAAGCTCTTTGTTGGAAAACACCGCTTTATTTTGTCCCAAAATTGCTTTGGACGATCTATGTTTTCTTGCAGAATTGATCTAGTATAAGTGGCCTTACTATGTCTGATCGAGCGTGTGACCGAGTTTCTGAGCCGACGATACGTGGACCAGTCGTTCGCTTTTCTAGTTTTTCGCGCCTTTCTCAAAAAGGAATCCCTTTCGTTTATCGTTTTACGGATTTCGCTTGTAAGCCAGGGACAATCGCGCCCTCGTATCTTCTTCTTTTCTAAAGGTGCATGCTTGTCGATAACAGTTTTCAATAAACTTTTAAAAGTTTTCCAACCTTTGTTAACATTGTCCTCTCTCGTTGCTTTTGTCCATGGTTGATTTCGTAGATCTTCTTTGAAATTTTCTACGATGTATTTAGCATAATTTCTTTTGTAAATAACACTGGGAATAAACTTCCTGTTGCTTTTCTTTATGATCACACCTATAAGATCGTGATCGCTTACTGAGTTTCCGTAAACAATAGATTTTAACACATTTTGTTCATGGGATGTTGCTTTTATATCTATTAGTGTTTTTGTATCCTTGGTAACACGAGTAGGTTCCTTGATAATCTGTCCAAATCCGTTTTCTCTAATTATTCTTTTTACTTCTTTGTCTTTTGCTTTTCTTAAAAAGTCAGCATTTAGGTCCCCAAGAAGGATCGTTTCTTTACTTTCGAGCAAACCTGTCGAAAGCATGTCATCAAATTTTGCTAAAAAATCTGCTAAAAAAGGCACTGAGTATTGCATACAAGGATAGTGTTTCTGACTTTGATGTACTTTTGACCAGAGATAATTCTGTATCTATTCATAAACGGAATCTACAGTTGCTGATGACCGAGATTCACAAAACTAAATCGAATATATCCCCAACCTTTATGTGACTGAGATCTTCATTTAGAAGAATCCCCCTATCACCTAAGAAACAACGAATGTCTGTTACAAATGCCTAAGGCCCGGACAGTTCTGTTTGGGATAGAGAGTATTGCTTTCTTGGGATGTAAACAGTGGCATGGACCCTCAAATGACGCCAAACAGTCATTGAATATTTACATCTTAAAAAAACGCATACAGGAATGGAAGGGCGATACTGCCGACTATGTAAAACTTTCGTGGCACAGGCTGGGTCCTTGAATTGATCTTGTTTTACTTATTTTAAAAACTTACTTACTTGGCGCCTTACTGAATTCAAAGATATGACCAGAAACAACATTCTCTCACAGATCATAAAACAATCTCAATTTTCCTGATCGTCAAGAATTTTATTAAAACTCATAACAGTCAGGTCTGATATATAGAGAAATTTGATTGATTCACTCTATTCTACATCAGGGTGACAGGGGGATTCCTCATACCAGGTACAACCTACCATGTACCTCTGATGTACCACTACCATGCCACACACTATAATTAGGTTCACGAATCTCCAATGGTCAAGCTGTTTAATTTAGTAATTTATGAAGAGGACGTTTCTCGCAATGTACTTTACTCGTTATATAAAGATATTTACATTTTAAGGGATCTGATGGACATGAAATTAAAATTATTCTGAAGACAGAAATCATTCTGGAGGGACCATTTAACAATCGGATGGGCCATTAGAACATGAAATGATGAAATCACAGGGAACCGAGTGTCAATCCACGCGATCGGCGCCATATTGAAATCTGTGTTGCTTGTGAATAGAGCCAGGTTAAAAACTTAACCATACCTCGGATAAAATGTCTGCTGAACGGCTGAAGATCATCAAAGAGCGCTCAAAGCTAAGAAGGCAACTGTTAGCACAGCAAGTAGGTAGCAGCTTCTTTTAATATTTTGACATTCCTTGGAGTTATAGGGTTTTCTCGACAATCAATAAAATGCCAGCAGTGCCAAATCAGAATTTTTGTTCACTGTTACAGCTCGCCAGCCGATTTCGATAACTTTCCTACAAGATTTGAATGAAATAATTATCATAAATCATTATTTTGATGATCATTGTAAATGGTTAGTGAAAACAAGTTAGGAGAGCAAGCTACATCACTTCACTTGATATTGATTCATGTGCGACCAAGGGTACAAGAAGTCAAGCGTAGCTACAAATATACATTTTTCCTGTTGAATCAGGCTGGAAAACTTGCATATATGCTTGCAGCTAAGCTTCAAGCCTATATATATATATATATATATACTCAATCTGCAGACAGTACTGTTTCGCCCTTAG